ATGGTAATTGTATTCAGAGTGCGTTGCCTTTCGTCTGGCCCCCACTGCCCTAGATGGCTCAATTCATAGGGTTCTAGTCTCTACGGCGGTGGAAGATTTTAACACTAGCTTCTTAGCTAGCATTAATTCAGCCTCTCTGAGGAGGAGAATTCTAGCGGATCGCTGCTCTGATCGGTAGTTTTCCGTGGTTTCTCCGATCAACGCCTGACGAATACCAAAGTAGTACCCTGGTTAATCTGAGGTGGTACCAAGCTGGTAGGAGATACCTTGTGGTGGGAAATCCTCGCAATCCTACGTGGCCCGGCGCCGAATCTCGCCATTTAGTGGGAAAAGATCGCCGATAGTTCCCGCGTCAAAATCCATGTACGACACTTACGTGACTAGTTACCATAGCAGTTGAAGCGCACGGACTCACCAATCAGTCCATCTGAGCGGGATATCCTAGGTTCGGGTCCTGACGGAGGCAGGATTTTCGACACTAGCTTAAGTCGAATTCAGTCGCTGTCTGGAGGAGAGTTCTAGCGGCCGGCTGCTCTGATCGGTAGTTTTCTGTCGTTTCTCCGATCAACGTCAGGCGAATGCCGGAGCAGTACCCTAAAAAGCGGGCCACGGACTCCGCGCGATCTTTCCTACCTCTTCCTTGTCCTATGCTCACTCCTTGTACACACTTACACTAACACGCACTACACTGCCACTCATACCGGAAGACCCGTCGGGAGCTAAGAGATTGTCCCGCCAGGGGCGGGGCGTGATGGGAGATACCTGCTTGGGGAAAACCCCGCTAGCCGACGGTAGGTCGAAACCGGATCTTGCCATCCAGCGGGGAAAGACTACCTCCACCTCACGAGGAAAAACATTCACTACTATTACGGGACTAATGTTCCTGGTAGTTGACGCGTAAAACAATCGATCAATCCATCAAACCTTTGAGTCGCAAGTGTTTTTGGCGCCGCCGGCGCCATCCCGGCGAGGCGCCAGCGCGGGACAGGGCGATGCAGCGGAAGTGCGTGGCAGGACAGGTGCCGCCCCTTCTCTGAGGCAACGCAGGCCCAATTTCCGGCCATCTGGCCCCGCGCCCCACCCCTCACCCTCCCTCCTCCCCTCGCACATCCCAAGCTCTTCTCCTGCACGTGCCCGCTGTAATATGGCCCTCTCAGCCACCCGAGAGAGGCCGCGAGGCGGTTTTTTTTTGGGGGGGGGAGGGGCAGCGCGCGGATGTATAAATTAAGGTGCGAGTGGCGTGCACGTGATGGGCACGGTCTCTGCGCGTCTTTTTTTCTGGAAAAATCTTTTGCACGTGTGCGACATAACATCGGTCGCTAGGTTAGGGTTGCATTACGTTATTGAGAACCTTCCGACGAATGTTGATACACAAACATGATGTTCTGTTGAGAGAGGCGAACTGCAGCTTTCTACCAGTGAAGAGCCCACTGATGTTGTTTTCGACGGAATAAATAATTTTATATTATAATATCCATCTTCAAACAACGCTTTATTGCACTTCAGTGTGTGGAATCAAATAGACGGCATTGGGCTGCGCATAATGCATGTGTAGTAAATTTCTCTAATGGTTTAAGTACATTTAATTGAAGTGTTTTTAATTGAATATCTGTTGTGAAAATTAGCTAACAATTGCGGATTTTCAGAATTGTACAAACATTTTTTTAAATGTTCCAACTTTTAATGAAAATGATCTGTAAGAATAAAGAACCTGGATTTACTTTTATGTAATATTTTTCAAGTCATACTTCAGTTTTACGAGGGACCGGAAAATTGAGAAAATGTGAAAAAATATATATTTTAGACGTCCATAGATATTATCTGGGAAGATGGTAGGACAAAACTGATAGCTCAACAAAGGCGATAAGGAAACTTACCTAGTATCGAGGCCCTGCCATTCTGTAGCACCGTTATTCAGCAGACCACGCATAATTCGTGCGAACACAAAACTGTGCGAAATGTAAATTTTTTGCTATAATGTACTTTCTTGGCGTTTGAATCTTTTTTATTCGCCATCTGCTAAGGTATTAGTCTCGTACGTGTAGTACATGTTTTAATCGATGTGGCTGTGATCATTCTTGCTGGCTGGAGCGACATCTGGCGTCTATCTCACGTCGTCTAGCGGTGTTTTCCTCGACCAGCGGGGCTTCGCCCTAACCGGGAGAAGCTCTAAGCTACCAACATGTGTGTGTGTGTGTATGTGTGTAAGTGTGTAATTGAGTAAGGGGTGAGAATAGGACAAGGACGGTCGGACAGTTGTACCCAAGTTGGCGGGTTCAAACCCGATCGAAGCCGTGGATTTTTAAGGGCGAAATAATCCTTCGTACGCCTTCCTTCGGAGGGAAAGTAAAGCCGGCTGTCCCATGTTAGTAGATTTACTTGCATGTAAAAGATCCTCAAGACTAAACGACGCCTCTGAGCTAAATTCAAATCGTCTGTTTCTCCCCCAAGAAATACCTCCTTTCTCTGCTACTTGGTGAAAGGAGCGTAGCGAAATTTGCGTGATCAGACGGAAGAGCAAGCCTCATGACCTGAGTCCCGCCACGTAAAATAAGGCATACATTCAATTCAATTCAATTCAATACAAGGAAGAGGAAGAAAAGATCGCGCGCGGTCCGGTACTTTTTTTTTGTTGGGGTACTGATCTGGTATTCGCCTAGCGTAGGTCGGAAAAACTACGTTATCCATGTCGGAAACGCATACGATACATTTTATGAATTGCTATGATTCAGGAATGCGCAAAACCTAAGATTTAAGTCGTAAGTCCATTACGAAATATTTATTGCGCGAGAGAATGATAGATAAACGTTTGCTTCCTCGCCTCTTGCAGCATGAAGATGGGGCATAATTAAAAACTTTATATTTGATCAGCGCGAAATGTGAGCTTGCACGTATCGCTGCCCCTTGCAAACACCGTTCACCGCGCGCTGTTTGTTTAGCGCGAACCGACTCTCGTGCAGCGAAAAAAAAATTGAAGGTGAAATTCAGCAGTCTCGCCCAACGCTACATTGTGCAATACAGGCGGGTAAACATAATCCGAAAGGGTGCATTTGTAAAACACATGCAAATGGGTAAATATATTCGGAGTTCTGAGTCAATATTTGTGTCCGGCGTATACGAGACGTATACAAATACGTGCGATATTTCAGGAGAGAGCGCTTTTAAATTCGAACCGCATCGCACGCCGAGTATACAGTGGCGAAACTGGGTTTTGTACGCCTGTTTTTCTCTCCTTTTTTGGAGACGGCCATCTTTGTTTAACTAGGTGTCTCCCCTGGGCTTTTGGATATTGCGCACATTAAACACGCACACGGTTACATATTGCGTGTTTGTTCTGTGACGTCTTTCTGCCTTCCTCGAGACATATCTCGGGTTATGCGGGAATTTGTATAAACTACATCATTTGTCTTTTACAGTTAGTATATGTGCTGTCATTCTGAGGACGTATGAGAAACGACACAATGCAGCCAGTGGTATTGTGTTATTTTGTTTTTGGATAGAAATACAGAAAAAAATTAAAAGTTATCTAAGAATCACTCGTTCTGTAATAACTAAAAAAATTTGAATGGTGAAAGAGATAGCAAAATCATGGACCTCCCCGGAAGATAATTGCAGAAACAATGTCGGAAACATCATGCATGTCGTTAGTCACCTCTTGTTTGATATAATGTGCTGGAATACTCTTCTAGTTTGTAAGCGCAGAATAGATTAGTTTCAATAATACATACGGATTATCTAATTTCAGTAGGGAATATTTTATATATATATACGATTAAACATTCACTGTTTTGAAGAACAATTGTTTTCTTGGGTAAACTTTACAAAAAGGACTTATAAATTTAATCGAGTGACTGAAACTGAGTAATTGAAATATTTAAAGACCATTGCATGCAATTTTAGTCAAACATACAATCAGTGTCACAAGATTTTTTTCTAATAGAGTGTGAGGATAATTTAATTGAAAAAGTTTCAATCAGGTGAAATAAGAGGCAATAACACCGAATATTGACTCTCCTTAATTTGATTTTAAAAAATCATCCCATATCTGAATGTATAAACACCGTTGGTAAAAAATTAGTTGAATGATTTTGAAGCTTGTAAGCACCAAAATAAAATAAAAAAATTCGGAAATAATTAAAATTGTTCAAAGAATTAGTTATCGTGATTAGAAACCCACTTTCTTCGGGTGTCGTTATGTACATTCAGTTACTTTTAGCGCCAAGGTACCTTACCAATGCTCTGAACGATTTATTGGACCTGTGTATTGTTAACTATGCGATTTTGTGTAATGCTAGTGACAAATGAATATCAATAAGCGTATTATATTCATCTGGTACAGCGTATTTCATTAAAACCGAAAAACATTTGCATGGAAATACTAAAACGTTATGAATTCAAAATAGACTTTAATACATGTGTACACTATGTTTTTTTTTTATCTCGTTTCCCTCGGGCGAGTGTTATCTTTGTTACTGTCAACTGTAATTGTAAGTTATTAATACACATGTTGCACACCTGGACTCTTATCGAGCTAAAATACATTTATGAAGATTAAGGCTTGCAAATGGCATGCAATCGCGAGAATTATTTCAGAAAATTCAGTATTTAATTTATGAAGTAAATGGAAACAGATAACACCGCGCTAGCTGTCGCGAGCTGAGGTCCTGCGGGGAATGTAGAACGATGTCTCATTAGTCTCCATAGCGTGTCAGGTAGGGGAATGACCTTTCTACGGGGTCATTTCGTTACATTTAACGCAATTCTCCCCTCACGCGTACCTCTTCACACACACACACACACATACACTGCGACAACCGTGATGTACGTGATAATTACTGACCTCTAATTCAAAAGCTTCTCGGAACACGGTAATAAGCAAATTGGACGGCGCGAATTAACTTGCACGTCACCGTATGGTAATAGCACCAACAGCGGTGGACGCTGACAGGGCGACGCCAGTCCACGACGTGAAGTGGCGGACGCACGTGCGAACGGTCAGCATGGTGTGCGCTGTTCTCGGGGCCATGCGCCCGCTGATCTATATATCGACCTTCCTTGGCTACGTGCCGTTCACCATGAACCGGGAAGGGGAACTGCGGCGCACCCCGTTCAGACTGCTGTGGACAGGCGTGGTGACGAGCGTGTACGTCACCTACGCCGCCCTCAGGCTCGTCGTCTTCAAAGTGGACACCAACGCCGCGTCGAGTCTGGGGCACGTTGTGGAATGCGGGATCGCCTTTTACAGCTTCATCCCGTTGATCGCCCCGCTCCTCCTGTACTCCACCGTCAAATTCAAAGACTGGCAGTGCTTCGTGCGGAACTTGCACCAGATCGACCGCCACTTCCTGCCCAACCTGTGCCCCGAGAACGCCGAGCGGCGGTGCTGCGTGCTGAAGCAGACCGTCTTCCTGGTGGCGTTCCACAGCCTCGAGTTCGTCTTCGCCGTGTGGGCGTGGTCGTCCACCTACTGGTTCGTGTACACGTGGGGCGTGCAGCAGATGCTACACTCGGTGCTGGACCAGCAGATCCTGAACGCGATGCTAGTGGTGCGCGACCGCCGGCGGCGCGTCAACGAGGACCTGCTGTTGCTGGAGGGCGCGCCCGGCGGCGCGCGGCCCAAGCAGGAGCTGTACCGCCTGTCGGGCTCGCGGTCGCTCGCCTGGGAGAACGACGAGTGCCGCGTGGAGAAGCTGCGCGAGGCGCACCTGCGCCTGGCGGACGCGCACGAGGCCCTCAACCGCATATTCGGGTACATTTGCACTGTTTCGTAGCGCAGAGAAAGTTACGGAATGCTGCGAGGCCTTCAACCGCATATTCGGGTACCTTTGCACTGTTTCGTAGCACAGAGAAAGTAACGGAATGCCCTCAACCGCATATTCGGGTACCTTTGCACTGATTCGTAGCGCAGAAAAAGTCACGGAATGCTGCGAGGCCATCAACCGCATATTCGGATACCTTTGCACTGTTTCGTAGCGCAGAGACAGTCACGGAATGCAGCGAGGCCCTCAACCGCATATTCGGGTACTGTTCGGAGAACAGAGAAAGTCACGGAATGCTGCGAGGCCCTCAACCGCATATTTGGGTACCTTTGTACTGTTTCGGAGCTCAGAGAAAGTCACTGAATGCTGCGAGGCCCTCAACCGCATATTCGGGTACCTTTGCACTGATACGAAGCACAGAGAAAGTCACGGAATGCTGCGAGGCCCTCAACCGCATAATCGGGTATCTTTGCACTGATACGAAGCACAGAGAAAGTCACGGAATGCTGCGAGGCCCTCAACCACATATTTGCGTACCTTTGCACTGTTTCGGAGCACAGAGAAAGTCACGGAATGCTGCGAGGCCCTCAACCGCATATTCGGGTACTGTTTCGGAGCACAGAGAAAGTCACAGAATGCTGGAGGTCCTCAACCGCATATTCGGGTACCTTCGAACTGTTTCGTAGTACAGAGAAAGTCACGGATCGCTACAACAAATCGTTGTGGAATATATTCACTTTGGAGGTCAACAGCATATTCGGGTTTCTTTGCGTTGTCTTGTATACGTGACATTGAGAAAGTCATGCAATGCCTGCAAAAAACTATTGTGGGATATATTCGGTTTGCATGTCAACAGCATATTCGGGTTTCTTTGCTCTGTCTCATAGACGTAGTATTGAGCAAGTCACGATCCATGCAATACTGCAAAGAGTGTTGTGAGAAATGTTGACTAATATATTCGATTTTTTGCTGCCCAGGATGAGCCGCGTGTCAAGCGATTGAGCTGGCGTTTCAGCCATCTTAAACAATATCTGTCTAACCCCATGTGTAGCATGAAGATAAGGAAAAGTGAGTTCCCCGAAACGTTGCTTTGAGAAACCGAATATACAGTTTATGATGTGATTGCTCTGAAGACATGAATAAACTAAAGTTCTAAAAACTGTATGTTGTTAAAACTCTGTGGTCGAATACAATTAATAATATATATGTTAGTGATAGTGTAGACAATTTCCTTAATTGATTTATACAGACAGATATTGCGATCTTATAAAATGAAGTAACCATTAATGAGTGCAGGAATGTACGTGCTGTTGAAACAACATTTGTTTATTGGGGTTCTAAAATAGTGTGAGACGTTGTTGAAGGACTTCTCTTTAAAATAATGCGGAGCATTTGAAAAATTGTCAAACTCCGACTACAATGTCACATAATTTAATGCACCTGTAATGATTTTCGAAAATCTTCTCCCGTGTGTTGGTTACATGGAAATCCAGCGATTTCCACAAAGTTCTGTTTCCACAAAGTGAATGTGATGTGAAAGCAAAACATCACATTGACCATTCATGCATTACAATCAACTCATTGTAATTTGCTCCACGAGAGAAAATCTCAACAAGTAGCTGCACGTAACAGTAAATAATCAATCGTTAATTATTCCGCTCGTACTTTTACAAAATCAGGTAAACTAATAATCTACTATTCCCTTAATTGCACCCACTGCATTGAAATAAATTCACACATACGGGGAACATTATGTCTTCCGGTTCTGGGTCAATGGCCTCCCATCTCGATCAGGTTTTCGTCCAGTTTTCCTGATCCTTGAGCAAATGCTGAGATGGCCCCTTGTTTTGCTTCTGGACATAAATGAAACTTCAAATGAACGTCTCCCCATAGCACGCCACACACAGTTTTTAACGTTTTGGCGTAAATAAGTAAATAAATATTTATTACAGTGTCTTAATAAAACTTTTAACATTAGCATTGGAAAATGAACAAAAGTTAATTGAATCCAATCGATTCTTCTTACAATGTATTCACACTGATACTTGATTTAAAACTTGGTATAGTTCATAGAATGTTTACAGTCTCTAAAGAAAATCACAATTTTGTTTTCTTCAAATAGTTTATACATTTTTTTTCTTATCCTGGCGCAAATGTCACAATTATGGCTTAAAATACAGTTATTAGTGCCCGTCAGTTTGACAAAATTGCCTTTTTGTTATTGTTACTATTTTATGACTTTTAATATAAGGAATCAATTTTACTTCTGGAATTGTTTTAGTAGGTTTTTTATTTTGCCTATTTTAGCTTCTGATGCATATTTACGCCATAACTTCTTTTGTCTTTTTCCTCATGATTTCTCTTTCTTTCCTCGTAGCACCGATCGCAATCAAGTTGGATATATACCTATAAGCCTGGACAACACGAAGGCATGATCGTGTTTTATCTTTCTGTGGAAGAAGAAGCTGTGATAAAAATCTAAATGAAAAAGATCGATCATACTTCAAAATTTCGTTCCTTCAGGATTCTACTTTTGAGTATTGCCAACGATTACTCTTGAGGACATCTCCGATATAGCCTTCTCAGCAGACCTATTTGACAAGCACGTTTAAAAAAGTTCTTTACCGGTTTTACGATAATACACTTCGTTTATTGTCATCTCTCTCAATATCCAGTTACCCACACTATTCGCACCCTACCACGACACCGACTCCCATCCCCCTTTTTTACAGTTAATTTCAGATTACGCTGCTTCTTTTTTGGTTTGTGTCAGATTCGTCCATCTGATCCCGAAATTACCTATACTCGTACTACTTTTAGTCAAATAAAATATAGATCTACCAAGTACAAGTGAACACATAATAGATTATACCTATTTCATTTTTCACACTACATTTCTTACCCTATTTCAGTTACTTAAAGAGCTCCTATACATCTTTCAAGAAATCCTTCACTGTATTTCGTGGTGTCAGAGACCAGTGTGAGCAAAGCTTTGAAATACAAAACGAGGTAGTTGTATGAGCTGGAAAATGAAGGAAGGGAAAACAACAAGTTCTTACATTGATGAATTTCATATCTTGCTCTAAAATTTGTATATTTTGTTCTTTATTTTTATATAATGAATAACAAATACCACAAATTTGATTACTTTTAACTTTTGTATTTATAGTCGCATTTACCTATATATGTACATTTTTGAAAAATCAACCTTTTTCCCTTCCTTATCCAAAACTGTCTAAACTGTCATAAGAACTTCAGTATTGATTCTATTTGCTTGGATCAAAACCTGTAGTACAGATGCAGTACTTTCAGGTATCTAACAGCGTATTTCTGCGGCAAGTGAAACATGATGTTGAGTGACTCTCTTTGTACACAATAATCATAGTAATTGACAAATTTATTAATATTGATCCTGCTTTGATTATTCTTTATTGATTAATAGTCATTATTTTGAAATAATATTTTTTTTTCATTTCTCTTGTATTTTAAAGGGTGTGTTATGATCTTTATATTAGTATTAGCTTTATTAGTGTGGCTTTATTATACTTATTGATGTGCTGTTATCTTTATATTATATATTTATTTTATTTTTCAATTGTGCATTTAAAAAATACCATTTCTCTGTTCATCATCTATTTCTTCACTGTTATCAATGACTTTTGCTGTAATACCAGATATATTTGACGCTTTTCCCATTCATGAGGAAATAAATGAAGAAGCAAAAAAATACGAGTAAATCAAAACCTTTACAAATCGGAACCTTCATATCGAAAGCAATGTGCGAAAAGTGCTTAATTTGCATGTAACATTCACATATATTGAAAAAATATTTGAAAGTGTCGTTGAATTGTTGTTGCGAAAAATTCACACATCTTCTCGAGACAAAGCAGTCGAGAATTTGTCCGATGTTTGACATCAGAACATTTCGATACTGTAAGGTGTGTGTAGAATCTAACAATGATTTGTGAAAATTACTTCTAATTTGAATGTTAACTTACATTTTTTCGAAAATTTCGATACATTTTCAGTTTGTTTCCTCAAGTGTGATACATAAGCCTAATTTTCTTCTATTTTTGTTACTTACCGATTAATTCTTACGTTTTGTCGACAGTCTTCCTGTGCTGCTGGAAATGGCCTACGTATGGGCGCAGACGATGATGCATGTCTACTACCTGCTAGTGAAGGACTCAGCATTTGGAGGCGACGGTATGGTGGTAACAGGAGTTCACGTTCTAAACCTGGTACGTTGGAAGATGGCCACTAACATAACTCGGTTTATTAACAGTAATGTTTTGCAAGTAGTTCATAACGTTAACATTTTTTATAAATTCTTGGCTATCCGGGAGACGCCGCGTTGTTGGCTGAGAGGCCGACGCTTCGCCTGACATATCGCAGGCTTCTTCAGGGCAGGGCAGCTCACTTCCCTGAAGAAGCCTGCGACATGTCAGGCGAAACGTCGGCCTCTCAGACAACGACGCGGCGTCTCCCTGATAGCCAAAACTTTATGGAAAGGAGCCACGAAAGCGTACGATAAACTTTTTTGCAATTGTGCAAGTTTTGAAAACGAGCGATGTTAGGAGCCAGTTTTCAAATTTGTACGAATGCATTAAAGCAACATTATAAACGAGTACCAGAAATTACGTTTTTTCATAACAGCATTATAAGAGAATCAACATTAATTTTGGCAAACAACTATTGTGACGACACGGGTACTTGATATCTGTTCGGAAAAAGCGGTGATTACCTGTTCAGTTTACCGCTACCTCTCCACTATTCTCTTGCTGTGCTTCACTGAATGTGTGATGGCGCAATTATTCCTGCCATGAACGGCAAATACGTCATCATCTGTGCCGTAAGATATCATTTTTCGAACGCTTTCTTGTTACGAATAAGCTCGTTTATAGTGCTGGAATACAAAAATATATTTATATTTTACATTCAAAATATCTAAATTTTAAAATTGCAGATAATGTCCCAAATTATTTCTAAGGTAGAGCACGAGTTGGAAAACTGAAATTTAGACTGGTTACAAAATTTCGGAAACGCAAAGCCCAGCTAAAGTAAATAAGGAAAGTATTTACTTACCGGAAATGATGAGTCATTTCGATGGTGAATTGTCAGCTCACTGTAAACCTCTCATATGGAGGAGAGTTTGTATAATATTTCATTTCTATTTGTCCCGGTAGACAAACTGAATGAATGCCAGTGTCGCTAAAATGGGTATTTTTGTTGTAGTTTAAGAGAATGTTATCCCTAGAGAGACTCGTACAATGCAGTTGTGCTGCTGAAGGGTAATCTGGAAACCTTAGAGAATACACAAATTCTTTTTTAACAAAATCTATCGTTATATGTTTCATTTTTCAATATTTTTTACTAAATATTGAAAGAAAATTAAATGTTTTCGACTTATTTCCCTCACCTATGCGCGAGCGAATTACCAGAACCAGTAGCTGTGCGGGGGGCCTGCCAGTGCATAGTTCCCGGCTGGGTCTACCGCGCATGCGCACCAGAAGGCGCATCTATTTCCTTCTCTCTCACACACTGGGAAGAGAGCCCAGGCTCTCAGCTTGCAGACTTGTACCGCGATGCACGTCATTGTCTCGGATAAGCAAATTCACCTTATCACCTAACGTTGGGGTAAAGGAGACTGAGTTGTTTGTGTGATTTTTATTCGTGTTTTATTTATGAAACAATGAAGCAAAATATATAGTGTTATAGAATGTCCTACTGACAACAGACCACTCCGAAACTTCTAAACGGTTCAAGTTTTTAAAAGTACAGCTTTCGCTCAACAATGCAGAAACATGAGGCCATGTAGATAGAAATAGAGGTACCCAAATTTGTGAGTGATACAAATGAAGATGAAAGTATTACAATACAATCACACTTAATTAGAAAATTGATGATCCATTGTTTTTTCTCAGTAGCGCATTTAATTATTTATTTATAATGATTCAAATAACGTTTTCTACCTATGTAGATCGGGACCGAATCTCCCCATCCAGTGGGAGATCACCGCCATTTTCTTCAGAGATTAAAAGCATGCACTACACTTACGGGACTAATGAGCTTAGCAGATGACGCGCCCGCAATCACTAATCAATTAACCATAGCTGGTTTTGCAAAGTCTTCCAGCACTACTGCATTGGTTCTTAATAACGTGTGCGTCCGCAGACGCGGTCCGTGCTGGGCGTGCTGGCCATCAGCCACTGCTGCCAATCGTCGGTGTGCGAGGCGCGGCGCACGGAGCGGGTGGTGGCGCGCCTGCAGGCGACCAATCGCGACGTGGGCGGCGGGCGCGCGGCGGCCCTCGACCGCTTCGCCAAGCAGCTGGGCGCCGTTCGGCCCGAGCTCACCGCCTGCGGCCTCTTCGACGTCGACATGCCCTTCCTCTTCACCTTCTTCGCCTCCATGTTCGGCTACCTCGTCATCCTCGTGCAGTTCGACAAGTCGGCCGAATCGCCCCTGAGGAACGCGACGACCGACGGTTTGGTGTGAATGGAACGTCCCGGGTTTCGGCTCCCAAAAGACTTCTACAGTCTTTGAGTGTCGTGCCTCGTTCATGACTGAAATAAATTTGATGTAATGTTTGATATGTTTTTAATTTTTTTACCAAATTGGGGACATTTTCTACGCAGGGAAAACAGATACATAAATTAAATAGTATACATATTATGGTCACCAAAAATAAACATGAGAGTAAAATTCATTATGTATAAAGTCGTTTTTTAGAGCAGATCACCACATATGTGTCAGACACACAACCCTTTAAAAAAATAATCATAGGAAATTAGAAATTGTGGACATACATTTCATCAGAAAAACTTGCAGGATATTGAGACTGGATCATATAAGAAATGCCAAAAGCATGCTGAGAACAAACTTGAAATCGCCAATCTGTAAATAATTGCCTAAAGGTAATTACAATGTTATGGCCTCATAAGAATAATCAATGTTGAAATATATCCCAATGTAGCATGTGAGTACTGTCATACAAAGGAAAAAAAAGAGCCAGACTTCGCATAGCCACACTTGCAAACAAACCATTGAAAGAGCAACGGAAAAGAAACGTTTTTTAGAGGGGGTGACTGGAGAGATGGAGGTTAGAGATTGGAGACTAGAGATACAGAAAATGGCGACAGCCATAGCAACTCTGCCAAGAAGCAGAAGAAACTATATTTTAAGAGATATTTTTTAAATACGAAAACAGAAAACTTCGAGTCACCATCCTCGTGGTTGAAGTCGCTTCAAGTCATGTAGCTGATGGCTGAACTGCATTAAAATGCGACATATTTTCAGACTGTATAACTTGTCTTTGAATTGTTCAGTTTTTTGTTTGATGTTATACTTAAAAAACTCTTTTTCTTTGTAAATCACCGGGCAATGGTGAGTTACTTTACAATAATATTTTGTCCTTTTTTGAATGCGCATGAAAATATAACAATACTTAAGTCAAAGGTGAGCTCTTTTAATACTCAAACACCACTACCTACATTGCTTTTCTTCCTACGAAAAATAATTGGAAGCCACAAATAACTCTAAAGATGAAGAACTGAAAGTGCTTGGTGGTAAAGAAAAAATTCTATAAATGATCTGAAAATATATACCTTTCACTTTTAGAAAATAAAGGGAGAGAGATATCGTACAAATGTCTATAGTTACTTTACATCCTTTGATCATAAAACGCATAATTTAAGGATGTAAAGCCTTAATACACTGTGCAAGAAAATTATTTTTTTAAAAGGCTGAACCATAAAGAGTCAATGATAACGAAAATTTATTTGCCTTACTAACTAAAAAAATAAAATTACAAATTGTGGTATTGATTAAAAAATTGATTCGTTGATGAAAATGTTAAGACTTATTGCTGAAATATCATTTTCTTGTTCCTTAAAATAATAGTCATGGTTTTTGTCACTATTCTCATCATCTTCACATGCATCAATGTTTCTTTCTTTTTGGTCTTCTTTCCATCCTGCGACATCCAGTAACTTTTAGGCCCCTCTGAAAGTGTTGCAGATTCAATTTGCGTTGTTCAAAGACTTCCATCAGGCGCCACCTGAGAACGCTCCCCTCTGTAACGCCAGACTTTCTACGTATCCGTCCCGCACTCGTTGATGGCTTCTGTTTCTGTTGAAAACGCAGATTCGCATTTGCCGGGCGTCGAACCAAGATTCCGCGCGGCCTTGTCGAACTCGCATCGTAAAACAAAATCTCGGTTTTCATTTTCATGTTACGTTTCATTTGATCATTTGTTTTGAGATTACGTCTTTACCGGTCCATTAAAAAATATCGGTCTGAATTGCCAGGCAAATTCGTGGTGGATGCTGTGAATACGAGCGCAAATATAATTACGTGTTGTAGATACGCACGATAGTTTTACTGTCTTCCCAGTTCATTGTTACGTCAACATTACGAATCTCGTGACATGGAATGGCAATGTAAAGACTTAAATCTTAACGGAGTAGACTTAATATGCGAATAGAAGACGATCCCACATTTTTTTGACTGAGATATTTCGAAGAAAACTTGTCTTATATTCGGCTAAATACAGTAATTTACTATATAAAGGGACAATATTTACCCAATTTTGCTTACAGGGTCTGGCAATAAGAGTTTTGCGTCGCAAATTCGCTTTTTTCTCCACAGCATTATAATTATTTCTTTATACAGCGTAAGTAGTAGCGAAAAAGTAAAAATCAGGAACTGGAAGGCCGGGAGACCCGGGGAGCAATGCGAACAATATGAAGTCATCTGCACATAGACCGACACATGTGAAAGTCCCTCATTAATGATACTACGCACATCTGTATGTCGTTGCAAAGGTGCACCATCTTTTTGTATATTTTCTTATTCGCCCTTTAGTTGTGGCAATTATCGCAAATTTTGTTCCAATATGCAATATGCTTTCTGCTGCATACTGACCATTTTGGAAACTGGCGTTGTACTGTTATCTTGTGAATCACAATGAAGGCAGTATGATACAACAAAAACTTGGGAAGTTTGTATTTCTATCGATTTTTCACTTTAGTTACTTAAATGATTAATTTCATTAATATTCATCTTCTGACTCAAAGGCGCACGACCTTGTAGGAGCGTACACGTTTGCGCAGACGAAAGCTGCGGTTTGGAAACTGGCATGTTTGTTTTACAACGCGATTGCGTCGTGTTTGGTATCTTACATGGCGTATTTCATCTGAATCAGCATTCTATGATTCATTTCTCTTCATTGTTTACTCTAAATTATAAAACTTACATTTTTCATGCAGTGGAAGGTGTATGCATACCACGTGCCTGGAAAGTGCATCCTATTCACTTGCCTGGAAAGTGAGAATATGCTGTAATAAACTTCCACCCTGTCCATAGAGCAGAAAAGAGTATGACACAACTCTCAACAGACATGGGTATTTCTACGCTGCGAAAATAGTATATCTAGACGATGTTCTCGAACATATAAACACAGTGCATTTGTTTCTATGCGATGCAAATGTCTCTAAAATAAGTGGCATTCCTCAGACAAAGATAGTACAATGTAGTTAATTAAAGATGCACTGCGAAGTAATTCCATTAATGTTAAGATAACACTCGGTTTCAATGAAAACATTTAGTCAATATTATTGATTGAAATACAGCGTCAAAGCGCTCTGGCGCAGATAAACAGGGTCAAGAGGTGAGGCCATTTTTTATTAGTGTTGTGTGATCATCTACACAGGATTACGAGAGGATAGGAAGAAAAGAAATATTTGTTTTCCTTTTTTGGGAAGAATGAACTAAAAACATGAAAATCAGAAAATGATTAATATGCGGATTTTCTGTTCTCATTTTAGAAAAGGTTACTAATAATTGAAATTATAAAAGTTAGAAATTGAATAAATGCATCTTAAAGTACTTATAAAATATGAAACTTAATTTATTGATTTCCTAATACATAGTTTTAGAATATATTTTGGATTTTTATAACAGACGTGGGATCACTAATTAATATTAATTTTATCTCCCGCTAGCATAATTCTGCGTTTTCTACTTATTTTAAAACCAATATAGCTAACTGACTTCCAATTTTCACACTTTGCTCCGACATATTGATAATAACCAATTAAAATCCATGTTATCGTCGTTATAATTGTGAAATTTTCAACTTGTCTGAAGGAATAATACGATTGGGGTAGTAGGTAAATAGGAATATTCTAAGTAGTATTAAACTCAATAATTGATCAATTCGTCTTCTTTTCTGTACATCACAGTTTCCAAGAGCGATACGAATTTATTTTCCCTCCCTATTTTATGAAGATAAAACTGTCTGGAAGTCAGAGTTAGGACATCAGTGCACAATTAAACTATTTTGAGAGCTCGTTATAACTTTTTGAGATCTCTGTTATGATCTATATTTCGTTAATTCCAAGATAAAAAATGTAGGAGTCGTCTGTCAATCATGAGAGGTAGAAGGGAAAGACTAACAACTGTTTAAAAACACGACTTTCAAAAACCTCATGGCTATATAACGATCATAAATAAAATGCATGGAAACTTGATCAATTAGTTGATTTGTTTGTTTTCCGTAGAAAACAAATTTTAATCTTCTTGGATAGGAAATGAAAAGCAAGTTCATTGTAGTCTCACCGTATTTCCAAGGGCATTAAGAAGCAAAGAACGTTGCGATGCTAAGACATGATTGGAGATGGGTCTTGCGCCCAATTTTAAAAGTGTGCCGATTTTTTGGTTACGTTCCCGGTCTACAAAAACACCAATTTGTTAGAACTTGGCGTGCATGTTTTTGGACGGGCACTGTTATTATTATATATGTTTCATCACTAGCGGCGAAAACGCTGGGCCTTTTAGAAGAATATGATTTCGGCACCTTCTCCATAGAAGATATTTTTATAATATTTTTTCACGACTGGGGTTTCTTAGTCCCGATCATGACCTGTATATTGTTCTTCACACAGAAACTCAAAACGTGGAACCAAATGGCTTCGAAGTTATCTGAACTGGAAGTGATACTCGTGTGCAGCTGCAACCAAATAAACAAACGAAGGAAGGTAATAATATACAGGCACATGGCCGTAGCACTCTTCATGTGTGTGTTGCAGACCGTGATCGACATGAGTGTATGGACCCACTCATCCTACGTTATTATCTCGCATGTGATTTTGTACGTATCGAATATAACGGTAATCGTGCTGTACATGAGCGTGGTGTCGGTGCTGAAGGACCGCTTCCACGTGATAAACGGAGAGTTGGACGTTCTCGCGAAGCGGGCGGCGGCGCAGAAGGGGGCGTGGCCGGCCGCGACGGCGCGCGTGGAGGTTCTGCGGGCGTCGCACCTGGAGCTGTCGGAGCTGTGTGAGCGGGCCAACGCCCTGTTCGGCTTCCCGGTGGCCGGCGAGCTGCTCTACTACTGGGTGGGGGGCGCGCTGTGCGTGTACATGCTGTCCACGCTCACCTCGGGCTCGCCGGCGGAGGGCGGCGCGCGCGCCGCAGCGTTGGCGCAGCGCCTG